TTACCTTAGCACCAGCTGCCAACACATAAAACACCTCAACCCCCCCTCTGCCGCCCTTCAAAGCATGACTCGTTGCTATTTGTCTCCATAGGAACCGGCTGTACAGTGGCTCTGCAGACTGCACCATCATCGTAAGTGGCCATCGCCTCCCTGCTTCCTCTTTCTTTAAGGGCAAACTTGCACAATTGTTTTCATTTGCTACAGAAGTTCTGCTTTTGTCCCTCCGCTGTGCGTCTTGCGTAGGTGTGGGACATCCAGACGCTGCAGAAAGTCAACACTATCCGTGCCCATGACAACCCTGTGTGCACACTGGTCTCCTCCCACAACATGTTGTTCAGCGGCTCCCTGAAGGCCATCAAGGTACCGTGATGTCAAGTCAAGTTCAGGTTTATTTAAAGTACGTTATCATATGAAAGTGCCTCAGCGGAGATGGTGAAGTGACAAGGACAGGTCGAACATGAAATCATGCTCTGAGAAATGACACCAGTATTAGAGACGAGACAACTTGTAGGTCGTCCTGCTGATCTTTGTTTATGAGCGTAACTTCCTTGCTGGGATCTGCAATACATTACATTACATTACAGTCATTTAGCAGACGCTTTTATCCAAAGCGACTTACAATAAGTGTATTCAACATTGGTATTCAAGAGAACTACTAGTCACCAGAAGTCATAAGTGCATCTCCTTGTTTACACAAACATCTAAGAGCAGAAACCAGACCAAACGTACAGAAACAAACTAATACGAATACAATAGAAGTGAGATTTCAGTGGAGTGAAAAATCTGAATTATAGAATCAAATAATTACCAGGAAATGGTTTTATTTTAGTGACCATTAGTTCTGACTGAAAACAAGTGCCTAAATGTGACTTGGTGAGGAGAGGCAGACGGTTTGTTACCATGGTTACAAGCCAGTGAGAGAAGGAGATGATCATGTTGCTCTGTGAGAGAGTGATGTCAATCCTCTCAGACGGGGACTTTCCTTTCTTACCCAACGAGCCTCCTCCTCCTGTCAGGTTCTTTCTGTTTCAGCTCAGTGACATCATGCTCTTCACTTCACTCACCACTGTGTAGCCGCCCTGCTCTCTCTCTCTCTGTGTGTGTGTGTGTGTGTGTGTGTGTGTGTGTGTGTGTGTGTGTGTGTGTGTGAGAGAGAGAGAGAGAGAGAGAGAGAGTCAAGTATTTAAAAAGGCCATGAAAGCACAATGTAACTACTCAAGTAATTACAGTAAGACAAATAAGTTTAACAGAATTCTATTTCATAATATAAATAATGTCGATTTTGTTGCAATATTGTTTTAATAAGTTGAAGTTTTATTAGGTTTTGTCGTAGTAATAATCATAAACAACAGAAAGATGAAAAACTAAACAAAAAAATAGAAGTAAAGGAAGTGAGTATTGGTGCACAACAGAAATGACACGATGCTGGACTGAACTTAAATTAACTGTTTCACCATCTCCATGAACTGTATGTGTGTGTTCAGGTGTGGGACATCGTGGGTACGGAGCTGAAGCTGAAGAAGGAGCTGACTGGTCTCAATCACTGGGTCAGAGCACTGGTGGCCTCCCAGAACCACCTGTACAGCGGCTCATATCAGACCATCAAGGTAGGAGGAAGGGTGGGGAGGTGTTGGTAGTATACACACACACACAGTAAAACATTTCCTGTTTTGATTGTCCAATAATAGCTCAGCAACTACAAATAGACTACCCCATAGTTTGTGACTTTTTAACCAGAGCAAAAGTGTAAGGAATAGATCAAAAGGTGTTAAATATAGGTCACGTTTTATGACATTATCACCCTAAAAATTCAATATATATATCTTTTTAAATGAATAAAACTGGCCGTGCTGTTTTCCTTTGTGTGCAGCAAGAAAACAAAGAAAACTGCTTTTTGTCCTCAGTGAAAACGTTGTTTTTAAATGGCGTAACGCCAACGACTATGGACTGAAGCAGAATATTTCACTCGATAAACACATGTTCTGAATTTTTGGAAATGAGTACATCTATCTTTTTCCAGCAAATGGTGACTTTTGGTCTCTACAACGCTCTGGAGTTACTGGAAATGTGCACAGAAATTGGAAACAATGCTGCGTAGCCACCACTGCAATCTAATTCTACTAATAGTTTGATACCATTCACTAGTGTGCGTGTGTGTGTGTGTGTGTGTGTGTGGTCTAAGCCCCTCACTTGGTGAAACACAAGAGCAGAGGATATTAATGATGTGTGTGTTGCGCCGCTGCAGAATGAATAATAAGAGCCTAATCTTTATCTGCAACTGTGCAGAAATACTGTCTTTAATCAGATGGAATGGACATGAAAAAAAAGAAGAAGCTGATTTTAGATTTCAGAAGTCTCACTAATGAAGCTGAGATCTATTGGCTACAGCTCTAGCTAAATGTGTGCAATTTGCCACCTTGATCACTGTTAACTCAGTGGTTACATTGGACCTTCTCGTTGTCCGTCAACTATTATTACCCGTCATTTTAATTATGAATTATAATGAGACGTACACTAAAGGCGTCTTTAAAAATGCAGATTGTCAGATTCAACACCTCCTCGTGGTCTGCTAGCTGTGAGAGAGAGAGAGAGAGAGAGAATATTTGCATCGAGGTGCGCCTGTTGTTGTCACCCCTGAGGTCAATCTGGGTGTTAATGTAAAGTACAGAAAGTGCGTGCGTGCGCAGTGAAAGCTATTGAGATACACTGTGGTTAGTAATTGGGTTCTGTCCTCTATGTAAAAAGGACTTTAATTTGTTTTCATTCAGCGCCTCAGTACCGCGTGTGTGCGTTTAGAGTCGGTCACTAATGAATAGCTCGGGGACTCTGTGGAGAGATGAAGAGAGAGCAGAGAGGAGACTTGTTGTGGGGATGAAAGGACAGTTGATGCTTCTAAGCCCAGCAGTTCGTCTCCAGCCAGTACTCAATCAGAGAAGTTGATGAGGAAAATGTTTTGCTGGAAATTGCTGTGACAAATGTTGCCAAATATTCAATAAAAACAAACCTCTTTTAACATTTCGTCCAGTAGATATTTGGTTTGTGTACGTTCTTTACTTTTTTTAACTAAGAATGGATCAAATGAATCCACAAAATCATTAACTGTGCAGTTTCCCTCAGCTGTACGTAGCGTTGATGTGTCTTTGAGTTTTGGTTCACTCTCACTCCTCCAGTGGTGGAGCTCTGGGCCACAGCAGGCAGCGGTTTAGTGGAAAGAGCTCTATGAACTGAACGTACTCTACAACACAGCCAGACTAAGTTACCAGTTAGCTAATGAACAGTGAATTCAGCAGCTATGGAGCCAGATATCTGGTGCCATCCCTCTGTGTTAGACTGTCTGCTAACATGTTCAACACAACAACATGACTGTAAGCTGATAATACGTGTTTGGACTCGTAGTAAGAACACGTTTCCAGCTCACAGTCAGACTGAACATCTAGTCTACCTGAGAGCCAGTAGCAGCTGTGCTGTGTCGTGTGTATCGGTAGATGGCTGTGTGGGAGACACGGATGAGATATGAAGGAGTTTCATCTCATTGTCTCATTTTGTGGCCTGTTTTCAGTACTGCATCGTGATTGGCCAGGAAGCCTATCTGATTAAACTAGTGATCACTCCACTCTGTGTTGCCATGGAGATGAAAATTGACAACTTGCAGCTGTTAAACAACTCACTTTTTCCACTGCTGGTACTGTGTGTGTGTGTGTGTGTGTGTGTGTGTGTGTGTGTGTGTGTGTGT